ACAAGTAAACAGCCGTTTTTGCTTCGGACACTAAAAACTTTAAAGTTTGGGATTTAAACTTAGTGGTTTTGCTGTAATGTACTCCATTAATAATAAGAAGAAGAACAACAACAACACCAAGAACAAGAAGAACAAGAATCAGATTCAGAATAAACTTTATTGTCATTGTACTGGGATACAGTGAGATGAAGAAGAAGAAGATTTAGATTTTTAACAAAACTTAATTCACACATTAAGTTAACACAACAGTGTTAAAAAAAGATGATCAGGACAACAAGAAGAACAAGAACAAGAAGATTTTGCTTTTATTTACACAATAAGTTAACACAACAGTGTTAAAAAAGGTGATCAGGACAACAAGAACAAGAAGAAGTACAAGAAGAAGAACAAGAACAAGAACATTTTTATTTTTAACAAAACTTTATTTACACAATAAGTTAACAGAACAGTGTTTAAAAAAAGGTGACTAGGACAACAAGAACAACAAGAAGAAGAAGAACAACAACAACAACAATAACAAGAAGATTTTGATATTTAACAAAACTTTATTTACACAATAAGTTAACACAACAGTGCAAAAAAATGTGATCAGTACAAGCATAAAGTTAAATATTCACATGAGGAGCTTGTTGTATTGTAGTTCTCCCTGATCAGAAATGGTGCATAAAACCTTAGAAGAACACAAAGAAGAACGCGAAGAAGAACAAGAAGCCAGTGGAGTATCAGTTTGGTGCATAACTTTATTTTCCAGTCCCATTTTGTCTCAGCCATATTAATCCCTGAGAGGCTGGCAGACAGATGAGTTGTGATGCTGTGAGCACATACCGCACATTCTCTCTCCTCTGCTCTGCAGTTGTTAGACATATTGCAGGGTTTTAATATGAATGGGGGGTGGGGGCTCTGGAGAAGGGCTTGAATCCCATTCGTCGTACAGGAAAGAGCCACGGCCAAAAGTGACAGTTGCTCCTCTTGGAGTTCAGATGTTTGTGGATTTAAATTGCACTTTGAAAGGTCAAGACATGACAGGCAATCGGTCAGCTCCCAACTGAATGATCCACAGTCTTGGGGATATCTTTTCAGATTTCTTTTCTTATACTGCATTATGAAAGAAAATTTGAACACAGAAATACTTTCTTTATGAAGAATTACAAAGTTTACATTGTTAGATGTATTTTGTAAATATTCCAAAATCTATTCAACTGGAACTTAAAAATCTGAATATTTCTTTATAATATGTCCGAAAGTACCTACATTTACTACTAATAAAATTGATTAGCATAGAAATACAAAACTAAAGGGATATAAGGAAATAAAACATTCAATTTTAATTCATAGCTACAGACCGACTACAAAAATGATACATAATTCAACATTAGTTGACAGAAGTCAAAACCCTGCAAAGCAAGTGGCAAATTGCTCAAAGTTTTGTCAAAAGCTTTGAAGCCGGAAAACTGTTAAGATCCTTCCAGGATGTGTTTCCAAGAGAAACTTTATGAAAACAATTAAAACAAGTTGGTGTTTATTAAAGAGAACTCAAACAAACAGACAGAAAAGCTCTAAAAAGAACTCAAGAAAGAGCTTCAGACTTAAAACAGGTAATCCAGAACTGTGCTTTTAATCTGAAGGTCAACATGTCAGCTCTACAAAAATAAAAACAAAAATAAAGAATTTTACCAAATTTTTGTTGGTTATTATTGTTATTAGTAGTATTTTTAATAATATAGTCCCTCGTTTATCGCAGGGGATCTGTACCCTGGAGCCCCGCGATAAATGAAAAACCGCAAAGTAGAAATAGTAGTACAAGTAGTAAGTAGTAGTTTATTTTAGTATATACAGTATATATATATATATATATATATATATATATATATATATATATATATATATATATTATTATATATTATTATATATTTTAAATCCTTCCCACACTCTTTTAATATTCTAAACAACGTTTCTAAACTCTAAAGCTCTAAAAGAGCACAGAATGTCATGATTTTATCTCGCTGCCTCCTCTGCTCTTTGCCACCTGCAAGTTCTCTTGGCCACGCCCACTTCTCAGCTCTGCACAGAGAACAGCTGATCAGCTGCAGCAGGAAGTTTACCCAGCAGCGTGGGCTGTACAAATGTGCAGCAGGTGCTAAATAATAAAAAATAATTTATTTTAAATAAAATTCCTTGCCTATCGTGTGGTTCATCCCTCAATCAGCCAATTGTGTGTCATGTTCAATCTTATTTTGAAAAAAGCGATAGAGCAAGTCTGCGATAAACAAACCGTGAAGTAGCGAGGGACCACTGTATATATATTTTTCTTCTTTTGGCTGCTCCCTTCTTCAGGGATCACCACAGCGAAGTAAGAAATAGCAGAAGAAATAACAATAATAATAATGATAATAATAATAATAATAATAATAATAATAATAATATATGTTGTGTGCCATGTCAACATCAAATAGATTGCATCAGTCTGAGTTTTTTCAGTGGGTAAACAGAAATGTTTTATAAACTGTATATTTTGCTCTTGTTTCTGTTCCTGTGTGTGACCTTATTTAACTCCATGCAGCTCATATTCACAACATGTTCAGTCAGGCCTGTAACGGGTGTTGTTACAGGATTTCAAAAAGAGGACAAGAAGTGCCTCAAGGAACAAGTGGATGGGAGTGGCAGTACACATGTCACATGAAAAAAAAGTACACACACCAAGTTTTTATGCATAAACAATTGTCTCTGTCTGTGTTGACGTGGCTGCGCACAGTTCCAGTGTGTCGCTGATAATTCATACATCAGTTCTGGCAAACTGAAGCGTGTCACTGTGATCTCAAGAAAGAAACCAAACAAAGACTCAAACACCATGTATGTTTTTTTAATGATACTGAACAGACAAAAACAGTAAAGAAAAGTGCATTGCATGTGTGTTTGTCTGACCTTTATTTAAACAGGAAGATCTAAATAACAGCAGGAATGGATCAGACCTGATGAATGTAAAAAGAAACAGTGCATTTAATGCTGGGCGTCATTGCTGCAGGAATGTTGGCATGAAACATGCAGTCCTGACAGACAGCTGCACCACAGTGGTGTTGCATGCCACACCAGGATCTAAAGCTTTGTCGGGTGATCGAACGAAAAGCAGTGAAGAAATGAAGAATATTGAAATAATCTGGTTGTAAAAAGAAGGAAGATCAGGAAGCAGGAAGAAGTTTGTCTGCGAGGTTTGAAAACTCCTTCATGACCTCAAATAAAAACACATTCCAAAGAGTTTACCATAAATGACCCTGGACAACGATGAGTAAAACTCTGACTCACAAACTCCATTTCTTTTTAAAGGGCTCTTCCAGACATTTTAAAGTAGAGTTTGCTGTGGACATGTTATGACCTGCTGCCTAACATGCTAAAGCTGAGAACAACGATATGCAAGTTTTAGTGCTCTCGGTATCTGTTAGGGATGAGTCTCAGCAACTACCATATCAAATTCATTCAACCTTTATATTTTTTTTTATTTATAAATTATAGCTCAGTATCTGTAAACATGTCTGAGTTGTAGCTCTTTGTGTTTACTGAGTTTAATTAGTTGTGGCAACCATTTTGAACTGGCCAACTGGGAAAATCAGCACTTTGGTTTATGGGGGTTCCCGAACATTTCCATGCCATGGTCTCCAAAACAGCTTTAGCAAGCACAAACAATGTTACAAAATATGGAAAGAAACATCAACTTTTAGAATGTTTTAAAATGTATTCACTATATTCAATTAATTATCACAGCTGCTGAGCATAAAAATTTTATTAACTAACACGTTTTAAACGCTGTGTTATATTCCCACTGGAAAAAACAACAACTTTTCAACAAACTGTTGACCAGAAGAACAAAACAAACAAACAAACAAACAAAATACCTCTCTCTCAAGTGTGTTTATCTATAAAATGACAGATACAGATTGCCCTAGTGGGCGTTTTTTAAATTATTATTATTATTTATTTATTTATTATTTTTTTGCTTTGTTTTAATCTTCTTCTCTCCAGCTTTGTGGAGCTCCCTTGGTGGCCCGGGCCACGGCCGCCACTTTGAAAAACACTGGTTTATGATTTTTTTTATATATATTTTTTCAACAGGCAGGGATTACTCCATTTTTGGCATGACTGCCTCAGAGGAGTGTTGGGGGAGAGGGCGGGCCCCAGAAACCATCTTATCACCAGCAAATTAGGTTGTTTTTTTTTCATTGTTGTTGTTTTTTGTTTTTTCCCACTATGGGAGTGTGCTATTTCTGTGCCTCCAGTTTGTTTGCTTCTCAGACTGAAGAAGTCTTTTGGATGAAGGATGAAACATCTCAGCAAAAAAAAAAAAAAAAAAGAAACCGTCCAGATGACCTGACTGAATAGTTGGATTTGTAACCTGGATTATTGAGCATGGACTGTTGGTGTTACTCCAACATTTAATGCCGACGTTTCAAACAAAGATCTTATGTGATCAGTTAGCACTCAGTTCTTAATGGACATGACTCTCAGCTACTACCACACCAGATTTTTCTGTAAACATGACGGAGCTGTAACCCTTTTTGTGTCTGTGAAAGTCAGTTCTCTGTGGAAACAACTCTGAATTTGATTGTTTGTAAAATAGGTGGACACAGATTTTTTTCTTTTTCTGGGAGCTTCATTAAAATTCATCCACTGGTTAGTGAGATGTTCAAACAGAAAAACAGACCGAGACACAGACCCTTACACGCCCACCTGTCATAGCAAGCAGTAAATCATATTTTGCTTATATCTCTTGAAAAAGCCTCAATTTGGAGAAACAGTTTAATTCTGAGCTATCTACAACAGGTAAGATATTGTTTCCCCTCAACATTTACTCGAACCCCCACTTTTAAATGGGCGGAGCATCCCTTCAAAGTGTGTTCAGTAATCATAAGTGGTTCACTTGGTCTCAGCCAGCAGTGTGTTTCTGACAGGAGGTGTCCCTGGCTGTTGCGGTGCGCCCCGCCCTGCGCTCGCGCGCATATCACGTACATGCGTAATTCGACAAGAGCAGAGCGGAGTCAGCGCATGACAGCTGCTCGAGCGAACAGGTTGTTTCCAACCATCGTCGCCACTTATTTGCTGAATTTGTGCTGAGGGTTCAGGGCTGGTGTCTGATGGCCGCTGCTCTGAGGAATACTAATGACTGGGCTGCAGCGGGGCAGCGCGCGCAGTCTCTGCACGCCACACCTCTGGCAGCAGACGGTCGGAGAGGTGAGGATCACGGACAAGTGCTTTGTGACGGGAGGAGGGATGCCACCCCGGGAAGCCCACCCGTTCATGGGTATGATCTGGTAGGTGAATCTGCACCAGTCGCACAGGATTATACTCGTGTTGACTTCAGATTATCTAATGAAAGCGATCCTGATGGGATTCCTGCAGCTCTGAATGTCTCCACTGAGGCTGTCATTCAGGGTGAGCTGCCATGTCCTGAAACTTGTTGGGCTACACAGAAACTGGATGTTCTCGTTTCAGCAATGTGTTTCCAAACAGCTAAAGGCTGGAGCTGCTCAAAGGAGGGAGCGGGAGGTGCAGGCCATAAATCCAGTTTCATTCTGAGGCCTGCTTTGTACAGTTTGCAAAGTTTGAGAGATTTTTGCACAGCCATGAGAAAAATAAAAATATTCTGTTTTCTAATATTATTTGAGTCTAACCTGAACTGTGGAATTTGCTCCGTGATTCAGCAGTTTATAAAACCAACATGACTTTTCCAGTTGCTCGCTTTCTTTGAGGGGAATTTTTTTTTCCCACTTTTTTATTCCAACGTTGCTTCAGTTCGTCGGCTTCAAAACATTTGCAGACTTTATTTCTGCATAATTCTGTTAAGATCCCAACACAAAGTTTAACTGAGGACTGGACTTCAACTGGACCATTGAAACACATTGATTCTTTTTCTTTTTTCACCTTTCTGTTGTAAATGTGCTGCTGTGTTTGTGATCATTGTCCAGGTTTCTTGATCCATGATGATCCCAGCCTCAGCTGTCAGACACACGGACTCACATTTGACTCTAGAAAGTTTTGGCCTACAGAGAAAATTGATTGTAAGGTGACCATGTCTTGTGGCTGAAAACAACCATCATACTTTCACCACCATGCTTGACTCTTGGTGTTTATGCTCCTATGTGCTCAGTTTTCTACAAAGATTGCATTGCATTATGGGTAAACATATCTTGCTTGATCTCATCTGTTAAAAAAATGTTACAGAAGTTGTGTGGTTCATCCAGATGCTGTGCTGCCAGAGAAGAGTTTTTTTTTTTTTTTTTGCTGTAACTCTTCCAAACAAGCCATACTTGTTAATTAACTTTACTAGGTCTGTAAAGTATGAGATAAGATTTTTTTGTGTGTGTGTGTGTGTGGATTTTGCGATATTTCTGAGCATTGCATGATCTGTTTTTGTGGTGCATTTCCTGGAATGTCCACATCTGGGAAGATTGGCTTCAATTGTTTTCCTCTTGTGAGTAATCATCTCACCGATGGACTCCAGATTGTTTGAAAATGACCTTTAAGTCTGCAGGTTGATGGGAACAACAGTGGCCTCTCTAAGGTCATTGCTGATCTCTTTTTGTCTTGACATTGTGTTAACACAAACCTGTTGACTCCAAACTAACAAATGGCCCAAACTACTGATTTTATAGAGGTGATCATTCCAAACGTGATCAGTTAAGTAAGTGCACCACCTGACGGCAACTTCTGCTCCTCAGTCCTACAGAAGCAGCACGAGTGGATGTAATTTTTCACTCACATATTTTCCATATTGGCACATTTTTTGTTAAATTAGTAAGATGGTGGATTCTGTTTCTGTTCACACGAGGTTAAATTTAAATATCGTTGAGCCTGGTAAAGACCAGATCATGTTTCATTATATTTGGATATGTAAAACTCTAGAAATGAAAGCAGGTTGGCTTCCAGCCAGAGATCTCGCTCAACCTTTGAGAGCAGTTTTCTAAATCACGTGATTTCAAGTCTAATGTGAGTCGTCATAAATCATTTGCCTCCCTCTTGAGTGATTAAGTCCGACCTGATAATTTCTCCTTTGCTCCTCTCTCCCAGGGTAAATCAGAGATGGATGGCCTCTTGTGTCCGCACCCACAGGATGTTGTAAATTCCAAACTGCTGTGCAGGGATGGCAGGCTCATGCTGGAGCCACCTTTCACTGAACACCTTGCCTCCCCTTACAGTGTCAACATGAGTTTGTTTCTTCCTGATGTCATGCACTTACACCCCGACCTCTGCAGGACTGTGGCACCGATCAAAACAGAGGCATTGCGCACCCTGATGCCCCCCACCTGCCAAGGAAACGAAGTACCAGCAGCTCTTTCAGAATACTCAGGTGTTTTCAAAGCAGAAGACAATCCTAGTGGCGGCTTTTCCATCAAAACAGAAGCTCCTGATCTTCAGGAAGTTTCCATGTTTCATCTTCTGAACACTGACTTGGAGAAGTTTGCTTGTGGATTGGAGGTGAACCACGACCCCATGATCCCATTAAGTCTTCCAAATGAAAATGTTTGTGCAGGCCATGAGTTTGGAGCATCTTATTGGCCGCCCTCTCCACCAAACTCCGAGCCTCCAAGTCCAGACAGGAGCAAGGAGCTCCTTCACAACCTCCCCCCACCTCCCTCCTATGGAGCCAGTATTGCCTCCAAGTTAACTTTTCAAACTCCTAGATCCATTAATCCTGGACAGACTTCCAGCTTGCCTCTGATTCAAGATCAAAATTACGCCGCTAGATTAATTCAAAATCCAGAGGCAATAATGGTCCAGCATTCAAACTTGGGATCTGTTCAGACAACACCAGGTGTTGATCCACTGTCCCCGGTGTTGGCACATTCATCTCCAGCCATGTACAATCGGAGGAATAATCCTGATCTAGAAAAGAGGAGGATTCACCACTGCAATGTCTCAGGTGAGAAGTTTCATTTCAGTTCAGTTTATTTATATAATGCCAAGTCCCAAGAGAAGTACAAAAACTTTCATATACATTAAAAAATAAGCCAATTAGTAAAAGTTCTCTGTCTAAGGACGCCAGCAAATTGAGATGAATTTTAACTTTGTCGCAGTCTCCCATCCTGAGCAAGCACAAAGACAACAGTAGACAGGAAAAACTCCAGTTTAACAGGAAGAAGCCTCCAGCAGAACCAGGCTCAGGACGAGCGGTCATCTGTTTCGACCGGCTGGGGTTGAACGGACAGGAAGGAGAAACGAGCAAACATAGTATTACAGGTCCAGATGTGTCCCCTGTTGGAAGACACACACATAAAAAAATGTTAAAGTAAAGACAGCAGCAGAGTGAGGAAATGTGGTCAGTTTGTCCTTTAGCATTTAAAGCATAAAAAATCTTAAAGCAGCATAATTAAGAGATAGTTCAGGAAACCCAAGTTAACCTTAACTATAGGATTTATCAAAACAGAAAGTCTTAAGTCCAGTCTTAAAACTGGACAATGTGTCAGTTTCACGGACAGAAACTGGAAGTTGGTTCCACAAGAGAGGAGCCTGATAATGAAATATCTTCCTCCTATTCTACTTTTGGAAACTATAGGAACCACAAGTAAGCCTGCAGTCTGAGAGTGAAGCACTCTTTTAGGAAAGTATGGTTACAATAAGATTTGTAATGAAAGATGGAGCTAGGTTGTTGAGAGCTTTGTAGGTTAGAAGTAAGATTTGGATATTGATTCTAAATTTGACAGAAGGCCAATGGAAAGAAGCTAAAACTGGAGAGATATGATCCCTCCCACTAACCCCAGTTGACTCTGGCAGCAGCACTTTGGATTAACTAAAGACTTTTTAAAGAAGTTTTTGGACACCCAGATAATAAACCATTTTGATAGTTATACTGTGGTGATAGTAAAGCTAAAATGTTCCTTTTCTATGTCATAACTTGCAAAATATATGTGATTTTTTTTTTTTTTACATTTTCCTATTTTATTTTTGTCTCACCAGTTGTAAATAGCATTTTGAACAACCTCAGTTTGGAAAAATATGATTTTAATTGCAACTAGTTTATGTTAACAGCTATTCTGAGCATGGGCTATGCCTAATGTCTAGCCATCTTAAATAACTTAAGCCTAAAAAAATCCACAGCCGTTCATTAGAAATCTGTTATTATAAACCTTTACACTGTCCATTTTGAATTGCTAATGTATTTCTATAGAATCCACTCTTGTTTATTGGTAACACAAATGGCAGCACCAAGAAATATCTCCAGTATAGCCAGGGGCGCCTCCAGTTGGTAACTCGGGATATTGTTGCCAGAATAATGATGCAAAATGAATTTGAAGGCAGTGTAAAGCTTTACAAATATTATTTGCAGGAAACATATGGTAACTGGACTTTCCATTTAAAGCATCTTTCTATCCAACCATGATATTCAAAGCACTTTACAATACAATCTGTGTCATCATTTACACTTGACTACACTTCTACAAAGCTAATCTGTATAAATCATTCTATAGAGTCTAATCAGTGGATAGTTCACATTCATTCACAGAAGAGACACACATCAGAGGCAAGAGCCCAGGGAAATTGGACATGTGACTGCATACTGATGGAATCGAACTAACAACTCTCTCATTGGAGGACGACTCTAACCACTCAGCCCTCTAAGAACCACAGAGACTGAAGTTGGTTTCCAACAGAAACGGTCCACTGTAGCCTTGGTACTGCTAATTAGCAAATAGCTCATCAATATGTTCAGAATTAAACATTTTCAAATTGAGACCGTTTAACAAACTACAGTAGTCCCTCGTTTATTGTGGGGGTTATGCCCCCAGTATACTGCCGCGTTTATCCATATGCAGAGGCACGCACGTACGTACGCAGAAGTACGCACGTACGTACGCAGAGGTACGAGCGTAACCCCCAGGGCATGTCCGTGCAAAGCTCATATTTTTACGACCGCATACGCGTACGCGGTGTCGCACAATAAACTGCCCAGCGACGGACTGTTTTGTATGCGACACCAATGTATTAAATTCCTCTTCTTCATCCCTGATCTGGCCTTTTCTTTTGTTTTTTTGCCAAGAGGCAGTGATCTCTTCCTCCTCCATTGATGCCATGACTGAAATGGTGAGAAATGAAGGAATTTGTCACGAGCGAATTAAACTCAGGTCCAGCATGGCTGTGGGAGGGTCTGAAGATTTCCTGGTGGGCTGGTCTGATGTGTGGGCTGTAGAGCCAACGCTCCCTGTTTTTTTTTTTTTTTTTTTTTGATCTTTTTATTAACAACATATAAACACAGAACACCGATGCGATGGAGGCTGCCAGCGCTCGCTTTTTTTTCTTTTTTCCGACTTGTCAATCAATCCAGTAGGCATGTCAGCAAATGACCAATTGGCGACCTCAATTTGTCCCGAAGGTAAACGCCCCTTGTCTGTGAAGCTGCTCTGCAGTTGCTCAGGGTGTACGCTGGAGTAACATGTCTGAACCCTCTGCGTACAGTACACGCGTACGTACGCGTGAACGGACGTATGCGGCAGTATACTGGAGCCTTTAGGTTCCAGCAACCCCCCACCCCCACACAATAAGTGGAAATCCACAAAGTAGTGATGTTATATTTATTTTAGTATGTATTTTAAGGCTTTAGAAACCCTTCCCACACCCTTGCAATGTTCTAAACTCTTAAACCTACATAATTTTCACAACATACAGTATTGTATATGTAGCTAGTAATTTTTACTCACCAGACTCTGCAGAACAGGAGAGCCAGACCAGAACAAGACCCACCGAGTTGGACCAGAACAGAGTCATGTTAACAACATACTTATATGTACAGTTACAGTAGCTTATAAATTTTACTTACTAGCGTGTTCCCGCTTTGAGGTCCACGTGGGCGGGCTATCAGCTCTCAAGATTCACAGATGGGTCTGGAGGTCTGGTTCGGCTCTGGTTCTGGTCCGATATGGCGGGTTCTGTGCGGCTTCCCTGCATCCGCTGGGCGTCAAAGTCACTGTTATAAGCGGCGGTGCATCCCTGCTTGGAAGTCCTCTAGGATCTCTCAGGTTCACCGCTGAGTCTGGGGGTCCGGTTCTGGTTCCGTTCAGTGCAGCCCTGAGTGGCGAAGCGCATTGGGGGCGGTGGGGGCAGACTTTTGGTTGGCTGGTGTGGACTGGAAGTGGTCGATTGGGTCCAAGTCTGGACGATAAAAGTCCCGATGGGTTCCAGATGGAGCCCCGGACATACGGCAGCACGCATACCCGCATATTTCAGCAGAAGGAAACTGGGCTTCTGGGCAGGGCCTTGTTTGCTTCTGGGAAATGTGGTCATTATGAGTGGGAATCCAGTGTAGCCTTATTGAGAGAAAACTACAAAATGGCAGCGCCTGTCCGAATTTTATTTTATTTTTTTTTACTTTTTACTGTACAGTACCCAGTACTGTCCCAATCATGTGAGTAATATTAAAGTTGATAATCATGTGACCTGTACAGTTTTTTTATGTTAAGGTACGTTGACAAACCGCGACATAGCGAGTCTGCGAAAGTTGAACCGTGAAGTAGCGAGGGCCTACTGTATCTACAATGGGTGCATTACTAAATGTTTGTAATGTTTTCACAAAACCAAACTTCATAAGATATGAATGACTCTTTAACAAGTTGTCTCTTTATTTTTCAGGGTGTATAAAAGTCTATACAAAGTCATCTCATTTAAAAGCCCACATACGGACTCACACAGGTAATCTCCTTTATTGTTGTACATCTTATTTGGGGGTGAAAGTGGGGATGTTGCCAGGCAGAGTTGAAGTAAAGTTGGCTTGCAGATACGTTCTGTTTGGCCCTCATCTCACTGCTGTCAAATCACATAAACCCTGCAGCTCTGAGTAAAGGGGGGTGAGGGGAAAACGTGTAGACAAGCAGTGATTTATAGCTCACAGACGAGGCGTGGTGTCAGTTTGTTCGCCTTTAACACTTGTTTATCAGAGTACGAAGAAACAATTTCATGAACATCATACACCTGAGGGGAAGAGTTGTTTCCTAAAATATTGTTTATTTTGGCTTTGCTTAAGAACATTTTATTAATTTTTGTCTCCTGAAGGTGAGAAGCCCTACCGGTGCTCCTGGGAAGGCTGTGATTGGTGCTTTGCTCGTTCTGATGAGCTGACGCGCCATTTCAGGAAACACACCGGGGCAAAGCCTTTCCAGTGCGGCGTGTGCAGCCGTTGTTTCTCCCGCTCAGATCACCTGGCCCTCCACATGAAGAGACACCAGAGCTAGGGCATCTTCAAAAAGAACATCCTGTTTGCTTTAGGGTTTGACATATCACATGAAAAAAAGGGAAAAGACTTCTTTACTCTCAAAATGAGACCCACTCAGGAGTGCTGGCTCACCATGAATTTTATTTTCTTTATTGTGTAAAGATTCAATATTACTGTTGCCTTTATTTATGTCTCACCACAGTGGGATGTATTGTTCTAAACTAATTAACCAAATGTGTAATTAATTATTTTTTAAGGCTTTATTTTGATATTTTTATGTATAAGAATGTACATTTTACAGTATATTCATGCTTTTATTGGGCTGGTTATTTTGGCAAGATGGCATTTACTTGGCATACTTAAACAT